TGCTGGGATTAGGCGTGTGCCACCACGCCCGGCTCTAAAGGCTTTTTAAAAGAAAGCAACAGAACACATTCTAAATTTATATGGAAATACAAAGACTATTAAACCCAAAAGTTTTTTTTTAAGACCCAAAAAGTCTTGAAAAAGAACAAATTTGTAGGACCTCTGACTTCTTGATTTCATAACTCACTATAAAGCCACAGTAAGAAAATACGGGAATGGACACTGTTCCATTTCCAAGGGCGGGTTCTGAACCCCTCGAGAGTCGGAATCTCTACGTTCAGAGCCAGTTGACTTTCCGTGACATTCCTGTGGGGGAAGGGATGGTCTTCTCAACAAATGGGGTCAGGAGACTCAGACTCTATGTGGAAAATGGGCTATTAGACCCTTACTTCACAGCACACATATAGATGAACTCAAATCAGATCATACAACTAAACAAAAGCTGGGTGTGGTGGTGCACACCTGTGATCCCAGCTACTTGGGAGCATGAGGCAGGAGAATCCCAAGACCATGCCCAGCCTGGGCAATTTAGTAAGACCTTGTCTCAAAACAAACAAACAAACAAAAAAAAAACCAAAACAACAAAAACAGGGCCAGGGATTTAGCTCAGTGGTTCCGCAGCCTGCCTTGCAAGCGCAAGGACTGAAGTTCGATCCCCGGTACCAAAATAAAAAACAAAAAACCTCTAAACAAAGTTAGCTAAAGCTATCAAACTTTCAGGGGAAGATGAACTAGAAAATGAGGGATCTTAGGTTAGGCAGAGTTTTTTTGTTTTTGTTTTTTTGGTACTGGGGATAGAACTCAGATCATTGCACTTGCGAGGCAGGCAGTGGAACCACTGAGCTAAATCCCTGGCCAGGCAGAGTTCTTAAACACAATACCCCAATCCTGTGGCATAAGAGAAGAAAATTGGTACTTCTGCACTTTTAGAGGCAAAGTTTTTTTTAAAAAACAGACAAGTTACAGGCTGGAAAAAGTATCTGCAAGTCTTATATATCTAGAGTGGCGCATGCCTATAATCTCAGCACTGGGGAGGCAAAGGCAGAAGGAATACTGTGCATTCAAGGCCAGCAGGGCTACATAGAGAGTTTAAGGCCAGCCTGAACTACATAGCAAGACACGGTCTCAAAAAACACACAACACCCCCCCAAATATATCTAGTAACAGCCAGCCACTGTGGCACACACCTGTAATCCCAGCATCCTGGGAGACTGAGGCAGGAGGATCGCAAGTTTGAGCTCATCCCAGGAAATTTGGTGACTGAGACCTTGTCTCTCAAAATAAGGCTGGGGGTGCTGGGGATTTAGCTTATTGGTTCTTCTGCCTTCCTCAAAAGTGCAAGGTCCCAAGTTCGATCCCCAGTACCAATAATATAATAATATAATAATAATAATAAATAATAATAATAAAATAAGGCTGGGGATGTAGATTAGTGTGAAGATCCTGGGTTCAATCCCCAGTACCATATATACATACACACACAGACACCCCGCAAAAGAGCAAGACTAGAATACACTTTCAACAAAAAAGGTTTAAGAAGCCCAATAAATACATGAAAAGGTGCTTGGCACTACTAGTTTTCATGGAAAAGCAAATTGCCAGAATAGCTCAAAAAATACCATTGCCACAAAATATAAAAAACAGTACCAAATGGTGAGGCTGTGGAACAACTCCAGCTCTCATACTCTGTGAAGGGATACCAGCATTTTGAAAAGTTAAAAAAGCCGGGCTTGATGGTACATGCCTGTAATCCCAGCACTTGGCAGGCTGAGGCAGGAGAATTGCCACAAGTTCAAGGCCAGCCTGGAATACATGAGACCCTGTCTTTAAAAAAACAAAACAAAACAAAACAAACAAAAAACCCCCGAATAAAAAAAAAAAACAAAAACACCACCACATGGCGCACGCCTGTAATCCCAGCACTTAGGAGGCTGAGGCAGGAGGATCACCGTGAATTCAAGACCACCCCGGGTTACACAGTGAGTTCCAGATCAGTCTCAACTACATAGTGAGACTCTGTCTCAAAGCAAGCAAACAAACAAACAAAAACAACAAAATAAACACACAAAATCTACCCAAGACAAATGAAACATGCCTATACAAGGACTTGTGTACAAACAGTAGCACTCTTCTGTGACCCCGGGAAGGGGACGATCTAGTGCCCATCAGGTGAATATGGCACAGAGCATCGTTCAGCCACGACACAGAATGAGGCACCAACACACAACACAGCATGGATTGAGCCCAGCAGCGTCACACTCGGGAGAGGGGCAGGACCTAGACTGAGTGGGCAGTGCTGGACGGTGGCGAGTGAGGACTCACTCTGACTGCTGGGGCGGGCACAGAAGTCACGGATACAGATGTCTGGGGAAGAGGCGAGGGTACAGGTGGCATGCTTGTTAATACCTTGCTACCCTATCTATCACACTTCCAAAAAACGATCCCACCCGAGACACGGAAAATGAGGTTGAGGAAAAAAAAAAGATAACACTGAACAGTACTAAAACACTACTGGGGGGAACCAGACCTACAGATGCATGGATGTGTCTGTGGGTCACAGGCCAATGCTGAAGAGGTAGCCAGCATGCAGGGTTCTTGCTTTGTTTCAAAACCCAATGATTATAAAGAAGATCTCTCTGTCTCTCTCTCACACACACAGAAAACAAATGGAGCACTACTCAGTCGTGAAGGATAAACCTGAGTTATTTGTAGGAAAATGGGTGGATCATGAGACCGTAATACTAAAAGATAAACATAGAGGGTTAAATATCACATGGTTTAAGAAACTCAAACTATGACTTTTTGAAAGTATAAATTTAAGAACGGGTGTAAACTGTGCATGTGGGAAGGGCATCTGTAGAAGGAAGAAGAGGGAGGGAGGGGGAGTAAAAATGATGAAGACAGGATATGTGTATGTACTGATCCCCTGAGATGAATGTATTACTGCATAATATAATTAGTGCATGAACATTTACTGTACTAATAAACAGCAACAACAACAAAAACCCGATGGCTATCTCGGAAGTCTGGGGAAATACAAGTGACCATGAGCTGGGCTGATCTCAGAGGAGACTGAGGACCTGCCCATCGGCCATCAAAACTTAAAGTCCCCATAACAGGTAGCGGTGCCCCTGCTCAGGACATAGGGCCCGAGGAGTGGAGGCCAGAGGCCTGGGCACAAGTGGACCCTTGAGTCAGGAGAAGCTGTGACAGCCACATGACTGAGCAGGGCGGAGGCAGATGCAAGTCAGGGAGAACTAAACTGTACGAGCAGGTAAGATGGGGCTGACGACAGGTAAAACGAGTGTCCACGGGACACCTGGAGAGCACACACGAGTCTACACGCAAACAGGACTCGGAACCGAGAGCGGCCAGCTGGACTGTGTGAGATTATAAAACTTGGCCCTTTGCTATGGTCATGGCCGGTGTGTGAGGAATGAAGTTCAATAGTTATCGGAGACCGATTTAAAACTAGAGACTTACCAAAATCATGAGGGTGAAAAGGCCGACAGTGCAGGAGCCAGCAGATGGGCCCTGTCCAAACACCTTTGACGTCTTCTGGATCAGACTAAAGGGCAGCCGAGGGAGAAAAGCAAGACATGGAAAAGCTTTGGGGTTTGGAGGCTTACTTGCATCTAACTCCACAAAACTGGACTTGGGTGCACAGGAAGAGGTCTGGGCCCCCCTTCTCCCATAGTAAAATGACAGCAATACCACCTCTCCTTTCCAGTCCAACTGGGACACCAGGGGCGCATCCTCACTCCAGCCTCGCTGGTTCCAAGAAGAGGCTGTGACCATGGCCTCAGAGCCTGCTGAGACCGCACTTTGCTGAGTAAACTGCTCTGTGGCTCTGGGTGTGGACTTTCTCCCTGTGGATCTATAATTTCTCAGAACAGAGGTTGAGGAATGACCCGAAAAATAGCCTGGAGATGAGGTAGCACGGTGGGGTCTACAGGTCCACCTCCCCCTGCCTTGCAGGAGCTGTCCAAGAATCCCCCAGACCTCTATGCCCGTCTCTCCTCAGATCCAGGTCTGCCCCTTCTGTGCACGTGCACACGTCCCCACCACCCGAAGCAGGGCAGACGGAGCTGGAGCATCCGCTGGGGTCCAGGGTGGGTGGCCGGACCCTAGGGTGGTGTGGGGGAACCCCCACAGTAGCAGCCTCCCTCACCGGACCCAACCAGACCACGGATCAGCCAGGTTCCTGTGGTCTCTGCACACAAAACAGGGTGACCAGGCCCTTACCGGAGCCTCAGAGGCCAGTGCAGAGCCACTGGGGGCCCTAGCGCCGGCTTTGCTGCCTCTCTCCCAGGACGACAGGCAGGATAAGCAAACACGAGGTAGCCAGTGGCCCTGCCAGGTGTTCCTAGAAGAGGCCTCCGGGAGGGGCCGTGAGTAGACATCAGCTGACCTTGAGGTCACAGGAGGGGCCAAGGCTGGGCCTGAGCCCAGCAGCTGGCAGCAGATCCTACTCAGCCTGTTAGGAAACCCCAGTGCGAGCGGACAGTGTGCCGCACAGACAGGCGGGGCATCGGGGAACTAGATGGCACCCGCTTAACCCCAGCACAGCCATCAGCTCAGTCGGGGGTGAGTGCTGGGATCTCTAAGACCCCAGGAGCTGCCCAAGGAACTCCCCTGCCTGGGGGTGAAGCCAGTGGGACACTGGATCCTCCAAACCTGCTGTGAGCACTGGATTCTTGAAGGTTACTCAGAGAAGAGGGGGCCCTTCCCCCACCCACTCAGACCACCTACAGGGACAGGGCAGATGGGCTCAGGGCCCCTGGAGCTATGCCTCAGTCCACCTCAGGTCCCAAAGGAGGCTTCGGGGTGGACAAGGCACCCCAGCCCTTTCAATGTACCATCTGCACCCAGGGGACTTGGTGCTGACACTGGCCACCCGGCACGAGGGGGTTAATGGAGCTGAGACCTCGGGGCAGGGCCGGCCGACAGCTGCCCAGCAGCAGGGAAGCCAGAGGGCAGGAGCAGCCAGCCCAGCAGACCGCCCTCGCGCACTCTGCACGCGGGATGGCCCTGAGGAAAGGTGAGGCAGCAGGTGTCCCCTGCAGCTTGTCCTGGGGTCAGCCAGCTGGTGATCCCAGCCCACTTAGACAAGGGCTAGGGCAGGCCAGGGGAGGTGTGGGGGTTAGCTCTGGGTGGGCTAGTGGGGGACATGGCTAGGCCTGGCACCAGAGGGTCCCTGCTCTCCCCTGGTGGGAGAAGGGAGGGCAGGGTAGGGCACACGAGACAAGTGCTCAGCCCTTGGGCAGTACGGGGTGCAGGCATGGGGCAAGGGGCTTCTAACATCCACAGAACAGATCCTGCCTGGGACTGTCCGCCATTCCGGAGCTTGCTGCCTCTCCTGCCTCTGTTCCTCTGGCCCTGGCACCCTCGCCCTTCGCTCCGCCTCTGCGGGCACCATCTTGATGCCTGGGCTGGCCACCAGCACGTCGGCACTCCAGGACCACTCTCACCCTGTGGTGGACGAGCAGAGGGTGGGCGTGACACCACTCCTGCCTACCCTGGAACCCTGGGAGCCTTCTGGGAAGGGACAGGACCCCACAAAGGGATTCTGGGGCACTGCTGTTGAAGAGGCTCCAGCTATATCTGGGGCCCGAGGCCAGCTGAGTGGACGGTCTAGAGTACCCATCTGTCCTGAGGTGTGTGCCCCACCCTAGTGCCAGCATGGAATGCAGGCTGGACAGCCGGTGGCTAAGTTCCCCAATCCAGGGTCCTCAGGCATAGGGACTGCCCACCTCACTGTTCAGCCACTGAGAACAAGCAGACACCCCATTCGATCTTTTCTAGAGTATTCCAAAAATGGCCAATCTTAGCCAATGGCTTGCTTTCCCTCCTTTCCAGGCCAATGTGCAGTCTGACCAGGCTTGAGCATTTGTCTCATGGGAAAGAGATGGCTACGAGGCCCAGTAGCCAGGGGTATAGAATGTCTGTGCCCCACAGCCTGAGGGAAGTGGGGAACCAGCCACTCTATTCCCACAGTGGGGTAGGGATGGCCACCAGCTGGCTCCATAGGGTGGGGGCTGTAGTGCAGCCAGTTCCTACTTCCTGCCTGGCTTCTGCCTGTAGTTTAAGTGGCTGGCCACAATCTTAGCTCACAAATGAGACTTGCATCTTGCTACAGCCAAGGCCTGCAGAACTCTGAGGTCTGCTCACATCCTGGTACCTGCTACAGCCTTTTCCCCAAACCCCTCTCTCCATAGGAGGCCTGGCCCTGGTGGTGCTGCTAGTCTGGGCAGCACTGGGGCCCCATGGTAGCCTGGAGGGAGCAGAGCCCAGAGCACTGGCAGATGCCGAGGGCCCACAGTGCCCAGCCGTGTGTGCCTGCAGCCATGACTATGTGGATGAGCTCCACGTCTTCTGCAGCGCAAGGAACCTCACGCGGCCGCCCAGTGGCATCCCGGATGGCACCAGGGCCCTGTGGCTTGACAGCAACAACCTCTCCTCAATACCCCCAGCAGCCTTTCGGAACCTCTCAGGCCTGGACTTCCTCAACGTGCAGGGCAACCTGCTTGGCGGCCTGGAGCCACAGGCATTGCTGGGCCTGCAGAACCTGTACCACCTTCACCTGGAGCGGAACCGGCTGCGGAGCCTGGCGGCTGGTTCATTTGCCCACACACCAGGCCTTGCTTCACTAAGCCTCAGCAACAACCAGCTGGGCAGGCTGGAGGAGGGCACCTTTCGAGGCCTCACCCACCTCTGGGCCCTCAACCTTGGCTGGAACAGCCTGGTGGTGCTACCTGATACTACGTTCCAGGGCCTGAGCAAGCTCCGCGAGCTGGTGCTAGCAGGCAACAAACTGGCCTACCTGCAGCCAGCACTCTTCTGTGGCCTGGGTGAGCTGCGGGAGCTGGACCTGAGCAGGAATGCGCTGCGAAGCGTCAAGGCCAATGTCTTTGTGCAGCTGCCCCGACTCCAGAAGCTTTACCTGGATCGCAACCTCATCACGGCTGTGGCCTCTGGTGCCTTCCTGGGTATGAAAGCACTGCGCTGGCTGGACCTGTCCCACAACCGCGTAGCTGGCCTCCTGGAGGACACCTTCCCAGGCCTGCTGGGCCTGCATGTCCTGCGCCTGGCACACAACGGCATTACTAGCCTGAGACCCCGTATCTTCAAGGATCTGCACTTCCTGGAGGAGCTGCAGCTTGGCCACAACCGCATCCGGCAGCTGGCAGAAAAAACATTCGAGGGCCTGGGGCAGCTGGAGGTACTTACCCTCAATGACAACCAGATCCAGGAGATCAAGGTGGGTGCTTTCCTTGGGCTCTCCAACGTGGCTGTCATGAATCTCTCTGGCAACTGTCTCCAGAGCCTCCCAGAGCAGGTGTTCCAGGGCCTCAGCAAGCTGCACAGTCTGCACCTGGAGGGCAGCTGCTTGGGCCGCATCCGCCTGCACACCTTTACTGGCCTCTCCGGGCTGCGCCGGCTTTTCCTCAGGGACAACAGCATCTCCAGCATCGAGGAGCAGAGCCTGGGAGGACTGCCTGAGCTCCTGGAGCTTGACCTCACCTCCAACCAGCTCACACACCTGCCCCGCGAGCTCTTCCAGGGCCTGGGCCAGCTGGAGTACCTGCTCCTCGCTCGCAACCAGCTGTCGGCACTGCCCGTGGACATCCTGGGCCCCTTGCAGAGGGCATTCTGGCTGGATCTCTCACACAACCGCTTGGAGGCACTGGCCGAGGGCCTCTTCTTACCACTGGGGCAGCTGCGCTACCTCAGCCTCAGGAACAACTCCCTACAGACCTTTGTGCCGCCGCCTGCCAGCCTGGAGCGCCTGTGGCTTGAGGGCAACCCATGGGACTGCAGTTGTTCCCTGAAGACACTGCGGGACTTTGCCCTGCACAGGCCCAGCGTCGTGCCTCGCTTTGTGCAGGCTGTGTGTGAGGGAGATGAATGCCAGCCTGCCTACACTTACAACAATATCACCTGTACCAGCCCTGCCAACGTCTCGGGCCTCGACCTGCGGGACGTTGGCGAGGCCCACTTTGTGCCCTGCTGACCCAGGTCCGCTGGCCTCAGTGCTCCTGCTGGGCTGGCCCCGGGCTTCAGGATGAGTTTTCACCGTCCCCAGGGCCCTGGTGGGTATGCTGTTCACTCCCTGAGGAACAGGGTCCTGGCAGCTGAGTGACCCCGGCTCAGGAGAGGTGGGCATGGGTGGGCACCCACAGGAGGGTGGGGGCACAGTGGCCCTTTCCAGCTATTCACAATTAAAAGCTAATGAACACAGTGTGCGACCCTGAGAATTAAATTGAAAGGACGGGGGGAGATGTCAGCTGTGCTCTCCTTTCCCTTTCCTGTGACCACACCCTGTGCCGTCGTTCTGGCTCTGCCCGTCCCAGAACCCCTGCCATACGGGTCTCAGGAGCCACCACTCATTGCTGCGCATTGCCCCCCCCACTTCTCAGGCCCAAGGCCCTGCGGGCACAGTGGTTATGCTGGGGTGAGGCGCGACTCACAGGAGCACTGCCAGCAAGCCAGTGGGGGTGGGCTGGGCACAGCTCATCGCTTCCCCACAGGCTGCAGTCCTCCTCTGGAAGCCCTCAGCTCTTCCCTCAGAAGGATCATGCCACTGTGCTGCTTTCTGGATTACATTTCCTCCCTGGCCTTACTGGGAAACACGAGGAAATGGCCCCTAGGGTGCCTGGCTTACTTAAACTTGACACCCTGGTCTGAGGCTTCGCTCTGGGTTCCCCTGCTGCGCCTGCAGAGGGCCCCTCTAACCACACCAAGCATAGCCACACATAGGCTTCTAATATCAAAATCTTGTCCAGCTCCCCCAGATGAGATGGAGAAACATTCTCACCCGTCAGGGGCCTGCGACAATAAAACTAACAGCGGCTCGTCTAGTCGTGGGATGCTTTGAAACAAATGCAGTCATCACTAGGGACAGATCTGAAACGTCAGACTCACGATCAAGGTGGTGCGATACATTTAATAGCAGATTACTCTACTGTCCGAGGCTAGCTCACCACGTTATGGAATGCTGCCGTGGTGGCACAAAGTACACGTGGGGCCCAGGCCACCAGAGGGCGGCAGAAGACCTGGGCCAGGCTGGGAACGGTGTGGATGCCCAGCTGTCAGGAACACTTAGTCTGGGGCACTAGTCCTGAGAAAAAGCCTGTGGGTTGTTGGCCAAGACCACCACTATTTTAAAGTACCAGTCCCAACCCGGTGTGACGGTGCACACCTATAATCCCAGCACTTGGGAGGCCGAGGCAAAAGGACTGTTAAAAGTTTCAGGCCAGCCTGTGCTATAGCGAGTTCAAGACCAACCTAAATCACTAGCGAGGCCGTCTCAAAACACAAAACAAAAATGGTACCAGGCCTGAGATGTCCTTCAGCCACAGGCCAGCCAGCCAGAACTACTGTCAGTCTGCATTACTTGTTACAAAACCCCTTCAAGAAGAGGGCCAGGCAGGTGACACTCACACAGTGATAGCTCCTGACCGGTGCCACACATCCCGGGATGCACCAGGATCTCTGCTGTGGAAAGTCCTGGAGGCTGTGAGTAGAGCCCCTTGTGGAGGGACTGTCAGGAGAGCCGGGCAGGCAACCCGTCCAGAATTTTCTGAGCAATGGAGGTTAGTGCAGGAAATGCAGGACTCTTGGGGAACTCCTGGGTGAGGTCGTGACCCTCCTCCAAGCTTCTGGTGAGCACAGGGTCTAAGGGTACAGAGCCTGAAAAGACAGAGGAGGGCCAGGGATTTAGCTCAGTAGCTCTGTGATTGCCTCACAAGTACAAGGTCTTGAATTTGATCCCTGGTACCAATGGGGGAAAAAAAAAAGACAGAGAGGAGTTTGGGAGGAGAAGGTGGCACCTTGAGGCCATGTTCAAGCATCAACTGCTGTCAGACCTTGTGCTACTGTCTTCTATCAGGCTGACACTTGCCTCTCCTGATCACTCACTTGAAAGACAAGCAGCGGGGACCACAGTGTTTCCAGAGGAGATCCCAGAACCCAAGCTGGGCGCTGTGTAGCATCCCATCTTCTGCTCTTCTGGGATCTCTGTAGGCATCAGCCTCCCACACTGCTGGCAAGTGGGGGGCTCAGTTGGTGGCAGCAGTTTCACCATTCTTGTATGGGTACAGTTGGATCCACCCAGGGCAGAGGCACGATGGGGAGCCAAGACCCCAGCAAGACCCCGGTAGGCCTGTGTCCACACTCACCTAAGAAGGGTACTCCGGCGAGCTGAGCTAGCTCCTCCCCACCGCCCTTGGAGAAGATGTTGGTGCATTCCTAGGAGACAGGGTCTGTGAGGGCCCAGCCCACGGTGTTGAAGGCCAAGGGCAGACAGGAACTGGTCTCCTCAAAGCCCTGTCTGTCTGACCTGCCTTATATGTGTGCTCATCCACTCTGTCATAGCCCCGGCGGTTTCCCAGGACTCACCGCACAGTGTGGGCAAACAAAGCCACTCATGTTCTCCACAACTCCGACTACTTGCAGCCCCGTCTTCTTACAGAAGGTCAGCTCTCGCCTCACATCCCCCACAGACACCGCCTAGACAGCAAGAGAGGGCCAGGCCAGTCAGCAACAGATTCAGCCAAGAATTGGTCACCACAGCTGAGCCCAGTGGGGAGACCACACATGCCAGGGATGGGGGCAGCTGTGGGTGATACCTGTGGTGTTGTCACCACAAGGGCTCCCAAGGGTCTGTAGGGTCGAAGTGCTTCCACCACGGCCATGTGCTCATCAGAAGTCCCTGGAGGTGTGTCCACCACCAGGTAGTCCAGCTCCCCCCAGGCCACATCGGACACAAACTGCTTTATCAGCGCTGCAAAGACCCAGAGAAAGAGGGGAGCTGGTCTGTGCTACGTGGACCAGCAGTGTTAAAAAAGGCACCTTAGGGCTGGGGATTTAGTTCAGTGGTTCGGCCGCCTGCCTCATTAGGGGAAGGAAGGTCCTGAGTTTGATCCCCAGTGACAAAAAAAAAAAAAAAAAAAAAAAAAAAAAGGGCACCTTACTCCTGGAGTCACCTGTAGCACAAGGCTGAGGCAGTGAGGGGCCTGCTGGTGGTTCTTCCTAAGGGTAGGGGAGCAGAACGCAGTGAGGAGGTGGCAACTCTCCCTACCCCCACAAGTAGCTGTGCTGCCCCCAGCATCTAGCCCTGTCTCTACATGCCCACCCTGCAGTGGATGGCAGCAGATTCTTGCTAAGGCCCAGCTCAGGAGGGAGCCATAACCTTCTAGGGCCGCCTGCACCAAGCTCTCAAGCCTGTGTGGTGGCCTGCTGTGAAAAGTCTTGCTGGTACATCCAGGACCCGTCTTGTACAGTGGTCCCTCGAGTTAAGACCAGCCTGACAGATGAACAAGTTGGGTTATGACTGGAATTTTAGTTTTAACTTATGACCAAAGTCTTGAGTTATAGCCCAAATGCCAGTGGCTTGTGCTTTCAGATGGTCTCAGATACAGATTTAACCCTTAAGGAGTTCTGGAAGAACATTACAACATCCTTTTCTGTGTGGAGTTAACTGAAAAATCCTGGACCAATGTCTGAGGACACTGAGATCTGCCTGCACACAGCGGAGAGACTTTGAAGGCTGTGTAGAGGAGCCTGAGCCTTCAATTGACCAACTTAAATTACAATCAGCTCTCGGAACGAATTGAGTCTGTAAGTCAAGGGTCCACCGTACTTGTTACTCATCCCAACTACCTTTCAATGCAATCAGGACAGTTTATTGCCACCTGCTGCTCCAAGGAACCTCATTAAACCCCCACCCCCACTTGAGAGGGAGGGAGGGCAGCCCTCCACTTCTGGCTTTTTTCCTTTCCTTTTTTTGGGCAGTACTGGGCAGAATTGAGAATTGAGGCAGAATTGAGGGCCTTCACATTGAACTGCATCTCTAGCCCTTTTTATCTTATTTTGAGGCAGGGCCTTTGATCCTTATACAGGGATTGAACTTAACGATCCTCTTGCCTCAGCCTCCCAGAGCGCTGAGTACAAGTCTGTGCCACGACACCTGGGCCCTTTACAGCTAATTCTGAGCTCTGAGAAGTCAGCTGGGAGAGGCTGGAAGGCCACCTGTGCCTGCTTGCTGGGTCATTACCATTCTTCTTGGGACCTCTCCACACCACTGCCTCATCTGGATTCTCCAGCAGGAAGCCCACAGACATCAGGGAGATGCTCTGCTCCCGGTCCACAAAGACAGGCACCCAGCCACGGTCACACTGGTGTACGGCCCTGCCCTGTGCTCGGAGCATGCGCGGGATGCTGGGGCCACACAGGTCTATGTCCAGGATTCCTACCTGCAGAAGGCCAGATGGCAAAAGCTCAGCAATGCCCAGGTGCAAGGGTCCAGGCAGCTGGAACTAGGCCGAAGTGCTCAGGGCAGGGCCTCACCTTTTTGCCCTCACGGTGCAGCGCCAGGGTCAGCTCGGTAGAGATGGTGCTCTTCCCCACACCTCCCTTTCCCGAAAGGACAAGGATGATGTGCTGCACATCAGCCAGGTTCCCAAGTTCTGGTGAGAAGCAGAAGTTGGGAGGTTGGGTGTTTTCCAGGGACCACAGGCCTTCACTGCACATTCACTTGGGCTCAGGAAACCACCCCTGTACCAAACTCTGAGGACAAAAGCTAATGACCAGCCCCAGAAGAGACACTCACTCTTTCTTCCCCACGTAAGCAAAGACCCTCAGGCAGGTCTTCTAGCAGCCCCAGGATGACCTATCCCCGCACCTGTCTGAAATGGGACCACTGAAGGCAAAAATATCCCAAACTGCTCTCTCAGGCAGAAGTATCCCTGGGCCTACAGGGGTCGGGGGAGGCTGATGGCGCTGAAGATCCGGCAAGGTAGCTCCGGTGTGCCTCCACACCACCCTGCTGGCTCGAGGTCGCGCTCCCGGGCGCCCAGCGGCGTGCTCAAGGCCGCGGCGGGTCCAGG